AATACCAATAGACACCCAAGCTGGTTTTCTTTGTTTAAAAATTTCACTCCGTTCAGTAGCAACCACTGACATGCTGGCTTATCTCATCAGTTCATAACTGTCCAGATGATTGTTTATTCTGTACCTAATAATAATGTCGAGCAGCTCTTCCACAATTGATGCAAGACCTATTGGTCCATAACTTTGCTCTTACTCCTCTTAAATCATGCATTATTTCAATAGAAGTGGCAATTCCAGAATCAAAAGTTCTGAAAAATCATGACGATTGGCACAGCAATTTTCTCATCCACTTCTTTTAACACCTTGGGTAAAAATCCTCAACTCCTGGAATTTATAGTATTTTATTCCTTTTAGTTTTATTTTCTCTATCAGTCCCTTCTTAAAGCTCATTAAATCTAGTTCATTCATTCCCTCGATTTATTTCTAGTTTTCCATATTCCCCTGGGAATTTATGCTTATCCTCTACTCTGAAGATCAATACGAAGTAGTAGTTATAGAATCAAAGAGTCATTCAGCATTGAAACAGACCTTTCAGTTCAGCCAGTCCATGCCGACCATAATCCCAAACTAAACTATTAGCCGCATAATGATAACAGACTGGATTTACACTGAGTAGGTGGAAAGGTAGTACTAGGAAACCTTCTGACCTAGCAGACCTGTCACTTATACAGGGTCCTTACCTGTTGGATGTGTTTACAAAGGGAAAACAGAGGCAGTCAATGAGCAGGCCAACAGGCTGGATTGCCTGCCTCCATTTATTTGGAACATGGGCATAGTTTTAATGATAAATGTCAAGCACTAAAAGTTGGCTCACTGGTATATCCTCAACGGCAGCTACAGATGAGCAATGAATGCTCTTGCCAGTAATGCATAATTCCCATTAATGTATTAAAAAAAATCTCTGCTTGGCCTGCTGTGTTCATCCAGCTCTACACCTTGTTATCTCATTAAAAAAAAAGTCTGTCATTTCTTGACCTCCATTTACAATATCAAAGAATTGCTGCTTAATTAAATTAATAATCTTAGAATTTATAGATATACTTAAAAGCACAATAGTTAAGGGCCTATAAACAAAATAATTTGAGTTATGAATGAGAGAATTTATTTGTTATGGTTGGACAGATGGTCAGATTCCCATATGCCAAATTTCAAATGTTACTGAGAACCTGATGATAGCAAGTCTTGTATCTGATATGCAAAACTCTGTTGAAGTGTTCACAGATGGCTTGTAAGACTGGCAGACAAAACAAAATGATGCTTTCATGTAAATTATGTCAATGTAATTCCTAATGCATGAACACCTCCTGCAAAGACAGTGCTGCAGTTAGTTTTTAAATTCAAGAAAATTACTTTGTTACCTCTTCTTTTAAATGCCATAGAAATTGATTAAAGTAATAACAATATTAAAGATTGCTTAATACCACTCTCTTTAAAATGTGAATGAAGATCTGTGGGATCATCTGGCCATTTAATGGCAGTGTTGTTCCATGAATAGCAGTTCTTGCAGGTAAAACTATCTTATAAGATCCACCAAAGGAAATAACAAATAAAACAGATAAAACAGTGACAACATTAAAAGACTGTTATAATCATTTCAAACATAAAGGAAATTTTAGTACTTAATCGTGCACGCATGGCATAAAGTCACACAAATAATCTCCAAGAATAAAAATCAACAAAAGGAAAGAATGGGATGAAGGGTTGAAGTAACCCGAATTATTCTTCCTTAAGTGCATTTGCACTGATAATACTATTAATAGTTACTGGCATTTTGTCATTAAATGATGTGGTTCACTCTTATTTTCACTTCAGACTGTAATCATCATGCAAAATTATCAGGTACAGACCTTTAAGACATAAATATAAATTATTGCTATATCTAGGATTTAGGCCCACCATATTATTAAACTCAAAAGAAAAAAATTCTCTTCCATATACACTTCTTTGCCTTTTTAATAATTTTTCATTTCAATTATGCATAATTTTAACATCATTTATTTAAATATTTCTCAACAATTTCTCAATATAGTTTCCAAAGCTTTCCATCAGTAAATTTAAAGAGGAAAAGCAATATGAGCTGCTTAGCCATAGGAACTAACGTATATTATTGTACTGAAAACAAAGATCTCACGGGTACTGGCTCAAAGCTAAAGGATGTTCACTGTATTAAATTTCAACTTCTTACTGACGTTCAAAGTATTGCGATTTATTTCATTCAGAAAACAGCAGTGAAATTCACCTTGCTTTCATTTTTTAAGCTTAATCCACATATCTCTTGTAAAATGAAAGATCTAAATTACTTTATTGAAACCTTGCATGGACATTTCAGCATTGTCTTAAATGCCCACCTTTACCCTGAATGTGGATATATTCTTTGCTGTGAATATTGCAATCTTACATTAACAGTTGTTCCTATTACAGTTGAGGCTGTCTTTACAAGTCTGAGTCTCTATTCAATGTGACATTTCTGCAGTTATCAATCTGCTCAGTGTCTCTCTCACTCACATATGCATAAACACACACAAACCCCTTTGATACCACTTCTACATTTAAAAACTATCTTTTTAAAAGATTTCCCATCAAATACAAAGTGCTCTGACTTCTTTGTCACTGATTGAGACCATTCTTTCAATTACCTTTCTACTCCCTTCCCCTAGCCTTCAGAGTCAACTTCGCCTTGTCCTAATTCTCGACTCACTTCTCTAGTTTCTCCATGTCCCTCATAGCTTCATTAAGCTTATTTTACCCATACGACCAACCTCCTGTGTCCTCAACTATATGTCACCAATCATCCAACTTCCCTTTCTAGTCCTTAGTTTAGTCGATGGTGTTAAGAGTTTCAGCTCCTCAGATACTGTCCTCATGCCTTCACGTCTGTTATCACTCTCTCCACACAAAAAAAAACTCTGGGTACCTCTGCCCTGGTAGACTAACACACAATCTCCAACTCCCTTTGCTCTGCCTCAAAAACCCATGCACATCTTTCTCACAATTCTAGGGTTCCTGCATCTCCCAGAGTTCTGTTATAGTCCTTAGCTCGGTCATAAATGACACCTATTGTGACTGTGGTATTGGAAAACTATCACCCCCAGACATACCAACACATTTGTAACTTTTGATATAGTTAACTGTGCCACCCATCTTTAGCTTTTGTCCTCCATTGTCCCTCTGGATGGGAGTGCCCTCATTTGTTTCCAACAGTCCATCTATTCAAACATAGGTGGATACTCATCTGCAACACCTTTTCTTTATTCTGTGCTATTATCTCTGCATGTTCCTAAAGATCGATCCTTAGTCCTCTCCTATTTCCAAATCTAATGTCCACACAACAGTAACCTAATGCTGTCAAAGCTTTACCAGACCTAACCATGCTGATGCATTTTCGCAGTTTCAGTGTCACAAGTCTCTGTTAACTGGAATTACCATAACGCATTGAGGGTTGATTTTTAACATTACATGCAGAACATTTGCCTTCTACTAATAATTTCATCAACAATATGTTATGGTGTGGACACCCAAATTTCTTTGCACTTTAAATTCACACTAGCATAGTCAGAGCTGAAGAGAATGTGTTCCAGAGGGAACAGGTCAGCAAGGGCATGAGTATTAAGGAATCTACTGGTACTCAAACAACAATGCCAGGTTACTCTACATTCAGACTGCCCCACAGAAACATCAGGTTGTGCATAACCAGATAATCAGACCCCTGCAATGGGAATAGACATAGGCTGCATGCTGTACTGCACAAAGTGAAAAACATTACAGATCCAGGTGTCTCCTTCACTGTTTTGTCAAAATATCACTGAAGAGGTCAGCTCCAGAAGGTCTGAGGAAAGCTCACCAGGCCCTCAGGAGTCACCTAATGGGGCACAGTACTTGGAACAGTAATAGCTAAGCAGACATATAGTGAAGCCATTCAACTCTTCAAGCTTGCTATTATCTATCAATAACATCATGCCTGATCTAATTCTTGCTGTAATTTCACCTTCCTGTCTGTCCACATGACTTTTGACTCCCTTGTCCATCAAAAAAAAGCTATCAAACTTAGTCTTTTGGCAATAGCATGACTTCCTGCAAAGAGTTTTTAGTTCACTCTGTAGCCTGCAGCAGCCTGTCCAGAGGGTAAACATTAATCTCCACATAGATTATCCACAACAGGATGTTTACAGACAGGGATGGTACAGTGGTGGTTACAATGGACAAAAGTGGTGTCCCAGCAGCTGGACCTATTTACCTGCCTGAAAGCCTAGGTGTATAGGTTAGTGAGGAGAATGAAGGTATTGACATTTCAGTACCCTCATCTTCCTTTGTTTTCAAGCTCCTCCTGCAAAGACCTTGTCTGTGGTACACAATCTCATAATAATGCTTGCCACTGCAGAAATGCAGAACCCATGATCTCAGGTCAGATCCTTGAACCAGGCTGGTGATAATGCTTCTTAATGCCATTTAGACAGGGAGGCAAACAGCCTGCCTCAATTTAACTGAATTAATGCATTATGTTAATCACAAGGTAAGTTACATATCAGTTAGTCAAAATAATTTGCAAGCAAACATCATTGTGATGTGTTAGATTGAATAATTATGCAGGTAAAACTTTTAAAACATTTGGTAGGGATATTAAAAAAAAAATTACAGGAACTGCTTATAGTAAAGTTAAATTCCAGAATGGTCTTAGGTGGTTTTGGAACATTTCAATTCAACAAATTAGTTCGGGGAATCTGCACAATTGCAGTACCTGTTACTGAATAATCTGCTAAATTTGTTTGGATATCAGCATTTTTTCTAGATCAGTTACTAATCATTACTCAATAAAGATCTGTAAATGGTACAATCTTATGTAAAATTTTCCAGCATGATTTCAGTTTGCTTTGGATGTCACAAACACATTAGTAGTCATTGACCAGATGACTTGTGAAGCCTAAACAGGTAAATGACATTAATTTTATCTGCATGCTGTATTTGGAAAGTAGCTGATTTAGGACACTCTAGGTAATGCTTACCGTTGAGACAGACTTCACTTCAAACCATCTCAGGATGCCAGGCAATTTGTATGCGGTCACGTACGTGGTCCTTTCAATCCACATATTCTATGGAAACAGTTTACAGCAATTAGCCTAGCTTTGGAAAAATAAAACCACTGAGAATCATTCACTACACCAGCCATTGCACACAAAACTGCACTAATAAATGTGCAGTTAAAAAGCATATTTGACTTCTATTTGACATTATTCATCTTGCATGGGCACAAGAAAAAAAATGCATCTGTATAATAATGTCAGCTCTGTTAAAATTATAAGTGTATTATAACTTTAAGCTTCAATTATTTTCTATTCTGTCCATTTACCTAATATGCTGCTGTTTGAAAGTGTGATCAGTTTTAAGTAAGCAAAGCATTTGTTGGTCAATCTGATTAAAAATCTGGGCTGGATAATTTTTCGGATTTCCTGAACATTTTAAAAAAACGAAATAATGGATATGTAAAATTGTACTACAACATAACTGGGTACTTAAACAATGAAAGATTGAAGAAGCTTGAAAACACAATTGAAAAATTAGCACCGTTGTGGTCAATTAACAGTTCTGAATAAGAGTTGTTTTCTTTTAATCATGACCCTTCCTTTCTTTTTTAGATCTTCCAAATTTAAAAAGAAAATCCTCCACATTTTACATACAACTTGAAACATGGCAAAATTCTTGATCAGACATTATCAGAGGAAGCAAAAGGTATAAGAAGCTGCATTATGATGAAAGGTGCTGATAAGCACAGACTGGTGGTTAGTAGGATGCTCAATGCGCAGAGGGTTAAATTCAAGCCTAAATGAGAAAACAGAACTTCAAAGATTTTAAGTACTTTGAGAAATGATCGTGAAACAGACTGCTTAAAGATCTCAAGTTGGAGAACAAAATGTTTTTGATCTGTAGGGCCACCTAAATAGATCAAAAAAAAATTTATCAGCCACGTCTCATTCCAATATTTTCTCTTTTTATTAGTGCAAATATTAATGGGAGTCAACTGCTTCAGATTGCTGTTTATTAGAAAATTATTAAAATTAATGATTTTTATAAGCCTATTCAATTTATGCCCATCTCTACTGATTAAGAACTTGTTTCAACTATGTCAAAAGTTACAGTTAAGAAACATAATATATTACAGCAAATTCATTGTCAGGATCTTTCTCTCCTTTCCTGATTGGTCTTGAATACTGGAACCTCTGTACTTCATTCACTGTGTAAAAACTGTAAAGGGAAATAAAAATCACAAAAACTGTAAGAGCAAAAACAATTCTAAGTAAGAATACAACAGCTACAATGAATTAAAGTTCTTTTTCCATAAGCCTTTCAAATTATTCCCATGACAGAAATAAAATCTAAATTATATTTATAAGAGATAGGACCCAGTAAGTACAACAGAGTTTTCTGAACAAGATATAATCTGCTGAGGAATACAATATATTATTCATAGAAATGGCAAGTTGGTTAGTTACAGAAGGTACCACAAACTAAATGTTATCCAAATCTAGATATGAGGTTACAATATCTAATCACTTCCAATAATATGCACACACAAACTGTTAGTACTCCTTTTATTTAGTTAGGTTTTAACAGAAATGGCTGCTGATACACTTTACTTTTGGAACAACCTTGACATTTACACTGAACCACCAATAATTATCTCTGCAGAGATTGTAACAAGGTCAGCCAGGTGGACCTCTTTGAATGAGTTCCCTGACTACTAAACTGGTCCAATCAGGAAGCCCTGGCTGACTGATATAAACAGGAGGGTCAGAGGCTCTATTCACTCTGAGCAGGCTTAATGGTGAGGACATGCTATGTATAAATAAAAGGTGGCTTGGTGATGGCCTACTGGCTTCTGTGGCGATGAGAGAGAAACACATACTTTTAAAGAAATTCACTTGCAACAGTTATCTTTGACTTGGGGTAAGCATTTATGGCATCATGCTGTTATTTGGGAAGCTTGGCTTGTTTGATCCTGCTGCTGAAGATTAGGATCAGTTTGTAGAAAGAATACATTCATTTTGCCAGACAAATGACATTGGGGCAGATGAAAAGCAATGAGTAATTCTCCTGACAGTTAATGGACCTGCAACTTTTCTGGCTATTTTAACCTAACTATCCCTGAGGCCCCAGAAAAGAACCTTGCAAGAGTTGATTGATTTAGACCCCAAACAACCTCTAATTCTGAGATGTTATTGGTTTTTCTCAACAATCTGAGAACCAGGGGAATCCATTTTGGGATTTTTAAGGTTAAAACAACTGGCAGAGGCAAATGATTTTTAACTTAATCCTTAATGGGATGCTGAGAGACTGTTTGGTATGATGGATTAATGATGTAACCAGGCAAAAGTGCCTACTAGCTTAAGTCCAACTGGACCTCAAACAGGCACTACAACTGGCTTTATCATTGGAAAATGCAGCAAGTACAGCATAACTTGCAGGGTATTCTGATGGAAGTAAATACCCTCACCAGCCCAACAGACCTTGGGGAAAGAGACAGTAGGAACTGCAGATGCTGGAGAATCTGAGATAACGAGGTGTAGAGCTGGATGAACACAGCAGGCCAAGCAGCATCAGAGGAGCAGGAAGGCTGATGTTTTGGGCCTAGACCCTTCTTCAGAAATGGGGGAGGGGAAGGGGGTTCTGA